AAAAGATTGAAAATACTGCCACGCGGCCACTTGAGTGGCAGTATTTTCAATCTTTTGGAATGAAATTCACTCCAAAAGAGTGAAAAGTCACTCCAGAGAATTTAGAGAGTGTATAAATTGATTACAATTATATAATGTCAATGAAATTTTGTGTTGTAATCAAATTTGTTCAAGTGAGAGTGCCGTGTTAAAGTTCAAGGCATTTGTTTGATATTAACATTTCCTGCTTTCTCGCAGCTTCTCAATCGAGCACGGTGAGCAGCGCGCCGTCCGTCGGCCGACGCACCGAAGAACCACCGGTATCCCGGGTGCCGTTCCATCGACAAGGCAGCCAGTCGCAGGCTCCGGGTGAAGATACCGAGGACACGATGAAGAATCTGCGAAAGACGTTTGCTGGCATTTTTGGCGACATGTAGACCACAAGATATGGCCGACGTAGCGAGAGTGTGGACGTCGGGCACTCTCGCGATGAGGTAGCTAATGATAACACGTCGGCAACAAACATTCAAACGCGAACTCACGAACTTCTCCGACGATCCCTAAGCATGTTCCACGAATGAAGCGCATCACGCTCGAGCGCGCCGATCATGCGCAAGCTGTGACGCGGAGCATGTAGATATCTATATATTTGCAGATTGTCGCAGGAAACTCGCGAGACTGCATGCCACGCGAAGTGCACTATATAGTCATTTGAGTTTAATCGAAGGTTATCGAGAAATAAAGGCTCTTCTCGCCTTCTAATTAAAGCGTCGAAAGTACAAGTTGATCGAATCACATGATTTAAGGTTCACAAAGCAACTCTCTGGGTGCTTGCTTTAAATTTCCTCGAAATCTGGGTTTGATCCACTCTTGCACTCTTTTGACGCTTTAATTATGATACGTCGATCAGGTCAAGCGGGGAACAAGCTGGTAATGATTATCGCGTGTTATTTAGAGGAGAAAAAAAAACTTAGAGACAAAGAGATTTTCCCTTTTAACAATTTAATAAGCTAACGCGCTGTGTGGTAGCGAGGTAGGTTCTGTATATTGAAAGAATCATGATCATAATGTGTATGTATACGTGGGAGAATAAAGTAGGTTCTATAATAATCCGTATACACTGACGAATTAAATAAAAGTTAGGCAAGTTCAGTCGAAGAAAAATGGCAAATCATTTAACATCAGCTTGATGTCAGTTGAATCACTACCGCGATATCCAACGAAGCTATTTGCGTCAACAATAAAAGCGCGCGCTCTCTCTCAGTACACACAAAGCAGGAATCGCTCCGTAGGCCCCTGGCATCTCCTCAACCGGTTTTACTTCGAGCACCCACTTTTAGGCTTAACGTTCGGATCGTCGTGTGTCATATTGTCATTAAGGGAAAAGGCATTGCGAGATGGAAATTAAGGCAGGCAAATGGGCGTCTTTCGGGCGATCTCGCAGTGTTTGTAAAAATATATTCGTACGCCTATGTCATTCGAGTTAATTCGAAGACGACAAAAAAAGAGGAGATTCGGGCATTATTCTGAAACATTTTGGCTAACCGAGACTGCAAGCGGTCCTTTGATTTTCATCGAGGACTACAAGTCGGAGGGACGTATGTGTAGTTATCTCTATTATTAAGCGCACAAGTAGTTTTTAAGGCATAATCAGGGATGGGCGAAGTTTTTTCGATATCGCGAAACGTCGAATTTTTTTTTTAATCCAAATCCAGAGACCCGCGAATTCTTCATTAAACATGTCGATGAATCAGTTCGCGGCACGCTAATAAATTTTTCAACGAGGATATCTTGCGTGTGTGTAGATTTCCCGATGATGATAAAAATTTATCGCGCATCCCGAGAGAAGAACGGCGACATTTTCTTTTCCTAAATTTTCGCACGTCGCGGGTTGTCGTTAGAGCTGCACAGGTCGACCACGCCGTCGGTGGAAAATTCACGAAAATTCGGTCGCTGGGATTTTTTAGGATTAAGGAATCACATGGATCTTGGCGCGAGGAATGAAAACGAACGGTCGAAAAATCCGGCATGCGAATCGTACAACGCGGGACAGAGTAATCCCGCATACATAGATCTGCAAATATATACATATACGCATATGTATGTGCAAAACAGGCTGAACGTAGTACCGGCGAGATGTAACAGTTAAACATGTAGCTGAAAACTACGCGGAGCACAGTACGAAGAAGAGAACAGTTTCCATCGAATTGATCGCAGATTTAACTTAATAAAATAAGACTAAAGAAGAGATCAGGAGACAATCGACCGTGGTTTCAGCTCTGAAGAAAGGACAGATCGATAATTACGCAATAATTATTGCGAATTTAAATTCTGCTGAAGGCAAGCAGTCTTGCCAAATGTGATAAAACATTCGAGAAATATCAATTAATATATAATCAGTTGATAGAGATAAAAAGGAGGTCTTAAACTTAAAAAACTATAATGACTGACGAAGAGGGCGATTTATTTGAAAGTATAATCTTATTTGAAGCGCTGACGATATATAACTTGATCAAGTCACACGAAATTAGTCATAAAATAAAATTAAAAACTAAATTTAAGTAAAGTTATTGTGTCATAATAAAAAAAACAAGTGTTAACATAAAACGGTATCTGCAGTGAACTTTCCTATTTATGTGTAACATTTATACATAATATAAAAACTAAAATGTCTAAGATCTCTAAGCAAATCTCGAAAGTTTTCGAAATTGAATGAATTTTTTTCTAGCCTTCGGAAGGCCAAAGCTCGATTTACGCTGAACGTCATCGAATTTTTTTTTATATTTTCAGCGCTTCATTTAGAAATCTCTATGTAACAGAAATCTGACATTATACGATTTCGTCGTGTCTCTTTCGCGGTTTTCTAAACTGCATAAGTAATAAATAACTGACGGTTTGATTTTCATGTGCCTTGACACTAAAGTGTCCTTCGTATCACGTTTCTCGCAATTTCAGAAAATAATTAAAAAAAAAAAATGTAGGAAATAAAAATAATTTTTTCGGAAGATGTAAGTTGCGACGACGCTGGTAAATTTTCTGCGACGAGCGGAATGAAGTAGTAGTGTTTTGAGCAGATTGCACTTTTACCACGTGATACTTTTGATCGTTTGTACTTTTTATAAAGCTCGATCTCATTATATATTCGCTGAGACACGCTGTTTCTTCACTGACGTTCACCGCGGCGGAGAAGTGTGCGCACCCGTCCAATGCTTACATTCGTTACAACATGAACGCAGTATCGAGATATAAAAGAATACGTTACATAAAAGTAAGTTCTTGTATATATCATAATTTCCGGGATAATCGCGACCCTAATAATTATTCAATATATTCTGCAATACATAATGGTAGATTGTCTTCCATTACAAACTGAATATTTTCAACAGCGGATGCAAGTGAAACAGATGTCTTAGCCTCCTCTTCTTTCAAACAGTTTAACGTAGTTATATTTATAGTTATATTTCTGTAAACATAATCGCGTCCTTGAAAATATAATCTAAATGTAATTCGTACGTTAGAAGCCTCTCTTTCATCATTTTTCTCGCACTGGAAAAATTATTTCGTATTTAGCGAGTTTCATGATTAGGAAAACAAAAAATTGCGCAATTAAGGGTCAAACAAGGGACGCAAGGATCGCACGAAAGGTTTAACAGTATGATGCACAGGATCTCGTATTCCATTTTCAGAGCTGACGCCACGGTACGGAGAAGAGCAATCAAACAATCATAATCACGCAATTCTGCGCGGAGATCGTCGATCGATCGGTCAGCGCTAAGTGCGTAGACGCGGTTACAGGTTGAAGAATATCTCAGGGGTGCGAGTCTAGGCACTAGATAAAAGTAGGAGCTAGACGCGGCAAAACGCGTGATCGCGCGATGCAGCCTAGTCAAAAATCACTCACGCCGATTGCAATCGGCGGAACGGATAGAGTTAGGGTTCGCTTGTTCGAAGAAATCCTTGTAACTGTGATCTTCGGGATTGTCTGTAGGAAGGAAAATTTTGCGTCCGTATCTTGTTCGACTGATCGCTTTTCTTAGTGAATCTATTAATATGCGTAATCCATGAGTTTCTTCCTTTCTTTCAATAATTTTCAACGAAAATCTTGTTGCGCAACATTGCAAGTTTTTGAAGAAAATTCTTAAAGTTCTCGTCGGATATTATTTAAATATCGGCTAATGTCAAAAGTCTTGTTTAGAAAAAAGTTATGTGATAAATTTTCATAAAAGTGAAAACATATTGTTCGATTTAGTAGCGTTTATTAATGCCGATAGCTCAATTATAATAATACTTTGCTCTTAATTAGTACTTATATATTAAATTAATTTAAAGCAAATTCTCTTATTTGCAACATATCATTCAATGACTTGCTTAAATGTAAACACGAAGCTGTAAGCTCTCACAATCAGTCCGCAACTGATCGTTCGAACAAATGTTGATCTTGACTGAATAGCAATACAGCGTTGAGTATTTCGTTGAATCTTAACTTATCGAAGCGTTATACAGTGGCACGTTTAGTTTACGGTGACCGTGTGGTGTCGTGAGCAGCAGTGTTTTCATTTTCATTTCGAATTGCACCGTTTGCACCGTAGTTCAAGTAATAATGCACCACAGCAATATCCGTAGATAAGCACGGTTAATCATATCGCACTCTTTCAATTCTCTCTAGGATACTTCTCGTGTTACCGTGGTACACGTGACCACGCCACGTTCTGTGAGAAAAATCACCGAAAATAATATAAAATACAATTTTCCTTCACCGCGAGCGTGAAATCGGTCTTATCATCAATCTCGCGCCATTATAAATATAATAGTATATATTATATGTGTGTACATACACAGCACGCATATACTAGACTTCATGTAAAATCGCCTTAAAGGAAATTCATTCATCGTAATTTCATTTCTAATCATCTTTCGGAGTTCGGCATTTATAGCTTCGTACTTTTGACGTCACTTCTGCAGGAATCGCAAGTCCTAAAATTTCCTAGTATTATCGCTGTATCAGGACATGTGTAGATAAGGAGCGATAAATCTTTGTGCAACTTGCAAGATTTATAAAAATGCAGTTACGAAGTGAATTTGCGTCGTAAGGCGATGATAGGCCCGTGTTAACGCTAAGCGAGGACGTCACTGTACGTCGACACAGTAGTAAATTAGTGATTTCCGTAGTATCGATCTCCATAGTATCGATTGTTGTGAATATAACGAGATGCAGCTGCGGACAGTTTAGTACCAGTAAATCGTCCGCAACTGCATGTCCGCGTTCCCTCCTTCGTCCAAGAGGGAGCGCGAGCTTACTGACGGACCACAGTTCGGCGATTATCCTTCGATTATCGCGAGAGGATCGTGCAATAAGTTATGAATTCGCGCATGTTTCACATCTTTAGATTACGGAACGCTCATATATATACATATACACATATATTTATATCCTTCACTGTGCTTTCCGAGCATTCGTCACTGTACATCGAGAGGAGAAATCTCTTACGTACATATCATCTTGGCGGTACGATCTTCTTCGCTGAGCTTCAGTGCCTCTTTTCCTTTTCTTCCGTTTATTTAGCTTTACACGAGCAGTAGTGGCATGGGGTTGTTGCAATCCCTAGCAACCTCTATTTCTCCCCTTTTCCAACGAAGATGGTAGAGTAGTTAGACATATTGAATCTATAAGTGTTGTTACAAATTACGACATGCACGGGTATCTTAAGATTAACAAAAATGTCTCTGCTAGTTGTCTGCTAATTGTTAAAGTATTGTTCTTATAATGTTAGAAAACTATTGTAGAGCAACTTAACTAACTTTACTTTAACCGATATTCGTGAGAGCAGTTTTCATGACGTTGTCACACAACAGACTCTATGCAACTACTGCACAATTAATAATAAGCGATCGGATTGTTACATTTCGAAAACGTGCAATTCTCGATATAGAAGATAGAGAGATTTTGTTGCCTTGTTACATTTGGTTTATAGCTATTTTATACGAAATGTGCTCGATAAATGTTAAGCATGGCCGCGCGAAACACCAAAATTTTTAGCTATGTACGTGATTCACAACGAAAGCGGCAAGAAGCGCGTTTTTCAGCGGTTGTTATTTCGCATCAGAGCTGCGAGTACCGAGGCCAATAGGATAAAGTACGCATCATCGATTTACCTCCGATTTACACGACGGCGCTCGCCTCTTGATAATACTCAATGCGTATTTCTGTGTGTGTAACGAATTTAATGTTAAAGTAACTGAGTTACCGGATGGTAACTCGAGGCAAAAAAAGTAGCGATCATAGCCGAATGAGGCGTGTGGGCGCGACGAATGTACACGTCGCGGCCCGGGTACTGTGCGTTACCTCCTTGATTTCAATGCGTGCTAGCCCAATATATGTATGACATCCATTCATACACATACACATTACATACACACGTACACAAATGAAAAAAAAAATTAAATTGTAACGCTATATAAGTAATATTACTGTACGGTAATGATGTCGATGTTATTTAATCCGTTAATCATTAAAGTCAGCCTATCGTGCCAGGAAAGCAAAAATATTGAGGATATATATCGCGCTAAGATTTCAGGAAGACACAGGTCTAACTAATAACTAATTTATGTAGATTCGTTAGGGATCTTAAAAAAAAAAATTAACATAATCGGTCAGAGTGTGTTGGATTATGCAAGATATTATAATACACGTATAATCCAAAACAGATTACGTAGATTAGTAGGCGAGCGTTCGACGAAAGGGCGGCCGTGCTCGTCCGCGCTTTCTCGAGCGGAATGATCTTTACCCGGGCGCCCGCGAGCACGTTGATCATGCTCCCGAGGAGAGGAAGGGAGAATCGGAAACGTGACGCTTCGATGACCACGAACGCGGACCACCCACGCGGGAGAAAGGGTTGGATCGAGGTCCATGATCGACTCGTTGACCGCCACGTGCTCGAAAACCGCGCCGTGACTTTCGAATTGGCTGACATTCACGCGGCGGCCGACGTTTCGACGAACCTTGAATCGAGGCTGAATACCAACGGTGATGACTTCTGACATTACTGTGTGCGAAGTGCGTGCGATTCAATCGTCGCGAAAAGTGATAAAAAAAACAGAAACGATAGAGTTGTAATGGATGATGAGTACAAGCGGACGATTCGTTGCGGTTCGTGGTGATTTCGAGCGTAATAGAAAAAAAATGCAACGTAAGCAAAAGTGTAGCAGTTCGAGGATGGTCTGAATGAATGGCGGCTTTTTTTATATCTGTTGCAATTATAGAATTTTAATATGTTTGTACTGATCAAATACCGTCTTTTGGAATAGATTCGATAATGTCGCTGTTATTTTATTTTATATTTTACGGCTTACTTACATACTTTCCATCAAACGAATTAGATTTAATTACATCGAAGGTCGATCAAGTAATTAAAAAAAAAATGAAAAGTATGAATATCTTTATTTTAATGTTAAGGGAATTCACTAAATTCTCTTAATATAAAATAGTAAGATTTGATCGGATATATCACATTTCTGTATAATTTAGAATGAAAGATGGAAAAGTTGACGATTACGAAGATCAGCTCCCTGATCTCATAATAAAAAGCAAGATCAATGCAAGTAGAATACATCGATCGATAAGAGATCGAAGAGAGCTCGAACAAAAATCAGGAGAGGAATCGCGAACGACACGGCGCGTTTCTTTTTAACGATAAACTTTTAACGGTACTTAAGGACATAAGCGTATTTTTAGTAGCTCACTGAGAGAGGACAACGAATCAACAGAACGAGTACGTGTCCTGAGCGATGGAAACGGGTGAAAAACGAACGGAAGAAAGGAAGAAAGAGATCGGAAGACGATCTTAATGTAGAACAATGTTCGTATCAGTATCATAAATCACGCGCCCGCGTAGATTGGCGCGCACTAGATGTATCACCTGCCAATACGCAAGTAGCTTTCCCTCCATTAAGCCAATGGAGGGAAAGAATTAGAATAACATACATACACACATACACACATACACACACACATAAAATGCGAGTTCTATCTGTCATCGTTAATTACTAAGGATTATCAGAGTTTGGCGAAGCTCTAAGGTGAAACGAGTCAAATGTAAGAATATAAATTTATAGCCTCTAGCGAAGTACGCGAAGAAGTGTAGTACAATATTAACGAGAACGTGTATAAAAATATATAAAGAGTATATATAAATAATATATATAAAAATATATATAAATATAAAGACAAATATATATAGATGCAAACGCATATATATATAAATACAAATATGTAATTATTCCTATGATATGCAACGTTAATCGTTAGGTGCACAACGAGATGCTCGTTGCGATCGTGCATTTGTCGCTTGAACGAAGATTGAAATAGCGGAAGTATCACTTAAATACCTTGAAATAATTATTAACATCTTGAAAATAGCAAAATGTAAATTTAGCTCTGCGCCGATAAGAATTAAAATCTATTCTATTCGTTGGAAAATTCAATTGATTTGAGCCGCCTGCTGTTAGCAAGAGCGAAAAGCGCGATGAGCAGCGAGCATAATCGTTCAGTGATCGTCAAGATCCTTTTCGCAATAGTCCACGAGGGGAGATATAAAAAAATAGAGAGTAGACCATTTTTCGGGACGAGCCGATACCTGAGTCAAAGCATGCTGTTTTTTGCCTAACATATAGCTATTATAAAAACGGCGCTTGATGCGAAACATCGGGTGAAATTATCGATTTACTTTTGAATTTGGAAGGGCATTGGACTCATTGTTTTTCGGCGCATCGTATTCACATTTGCGCCTTTTTGTAAAACTTTTGTATCGGTATTTTATATATTACGGATAAAGGTATAAAGAAATTCGTGTCACTGAAGTGAAACGTAATATCCATTAAGACTTCTCGATTGTTAAATCGCGACCGTGAAATGGTAATCCATTGCGACAAGTGTTTTCTTTTCATTTAGCTTTCATGTATATTTTTTCAAGAACAACGATTTAATGATACGGCGAAAAATTAACGATGAGATTTTTTGTATTATTAACGTTTTATCTGTATGATTGTACGAATACGGCAATAGTTTTACCGAATGTTCAACGTTTCGATGTGATTTGCAATTAACCGAACGGAAATATTAATAGAACAATAGCAATTAAATAATGCGTCGCAATTTTCTGAATAACAAAAAAAAAAGAAGAAAAACATGAATGTACGAACCATCACTTAGCCCCTGTTGCCATAATAGATTATAAAACATTTCCAATGTTTCCTAGTCATTATGGTTGTTATGATAAATCTTACTCTTAAATGTGTTAAAACAATAGATCGCGACTATAAATGTCCATTATGTTATATATACATAAATATATATTACATGCGTTACGTTGCCATTGGAGTTACCATTACTAATATATTACCACAATTAATGTGAGATATATATAGTAATTAATGCGAGTATCGAGGTGTTTTAACTGCGAAATGTTATAAATATTAATGTGTAATATTCGTGTCATGACACTGTGTACGCGCAAAAACTTTTTTTCCAATTATTAACGATTATTAGACGATACGTATAGATGAAACCGCATTAATAGTACGATAATGAATGTAGGGGGAATTCATGTATTAATCATCAATAATATATCTCTGCGGCAAATGCTAACAAGTGAGATATCCATAATATGCATTAGATACCGGGGGGCGTCGTGTACCTCGAAGGCGCCCCGATGTAGAACCTGTTATACATTATTATGTTTAATGCAATACGTAAGCTGAACTGTAATAATAAAAACATACGTAAGCGTAAAATCACATGCACACGGCGTCATTTTTTATATCCCGATGTATCTTCACTAATGCTTTATCAGCGCACATCTTCATAATAATATACGAAACGCCTGAAGTTTGAAAAAGTCACATATAAAAGATGAACTCTTGAATGTTATCAGCATCATCAATTTTTATTTTCATAAATGCGTCTAGAAAAAGTAACTACATATATTAATTAATAATTTCTATAAAAATAAAAAAAAATAAAAACAGAGGGAAAATAGTGCACATGTAGACAACAAAAACATTGATTAACATTTAAATCGTACACTACACGTTATTATCATATTAAAGATATTTAATCGTACACTACACGTCATTATCATATTAAAGATATTTAAACAAGTTACATGACGTAAAATTTAAAGCAACGACTTGTCGAGTTCTGTATTGAGTGAGCAATTCTGGTACATCCCCGCGCGGCCGAGTTCGGTGCTAAAAGAATTGTTGCGGGGATAATAAGACGTCGGCACTGTATGAATTGTCGGTGCGTGCCAGCCATAATCTATGGAAGTTTTCCAGTAGCAAGGATGAGGAGGATTGTCTTGGCCGTAACCTTTAAAAATTTCTGAAAGAATGTCAGAAATTGTTAATGATCTATAAATAGTAGCTAATACACTGTACATATAATTTTTTCCATAATATTTGCGCGCGTGTGTGAGAGAAAGAATAGCTTTTTATCAAATAAAATATATTCGGACATCTATTAAATCTTTAGAGATCTAGAGATTAAAATACGTATTCTTTACGTATATCATTGTCAAATATAATCTAAAATATTTTCAATTTTCTCGGACGCATATTATATGTTTGTGAATACAAAAACATCTCGCTTACGAGCTGGTTCCTGGAATCTACGAATCAATCTCCGTACAGTTGTACGGTATCTGATACGCTACGCTACTGCACTGATATTGACCGTGGACTTTTCCGAAGTCGTCCACTAACGAGCCGCGTACTCTGAAGCCGGGATCCACGGTTACGTTCTCCATTCTCGCGAATGCCGCCATGTCCACGTAACGGAGATCGTTGTTGTTTAGGAAGAGAAACAGTAAATTGTCCAGACCCTGGAAGGTGTCGGACTTCAGCACTGTCAACTGATTGCCGTTCAGCCAGAGCGAGTTCAACGACTTCACGTGCCGAAAGACATTGGCGGGAATTGTCCTCAGTCGATTTCTGCCCAAGTCGAGTTCGTTTATCTCGCCGAGACCGCGGAACATGTCGGGATGCAAAGTCGAGATCTTGTTGCGCGACAGATAGAGAAGGTCTATATGGGGCAGCCCGTTGAACGCGCCGATCGGTATCTCCGGTATGTCGTTCGAGTCCAGGACCAGCGTTTCCAGCTGCCTGAGACCTTTGAACATGTTCCTCCTCAACGCAAGCCGGTTGTTGGTGATGTAGAGCTCGTGCAACTCCGAGAGACCCCTCCACACGCCAGGCCGCAGGTCCGAGATGTTGTTGTGATCCAGCAGCAGAGTCTCCAGATTGCTCAAACTCGCGAAGGCACCGTCTTCCACGTTGGTGATCGTATTGTTCCTCAGGTCCAAGTAGGTGAGCTGATCCAGGGCGTCGAAGTAATGCCGGCTGATACTTGGTAGTCGATTATCGCGGGTGTAGAGCGCGGATGAGTTACTGACCTCGGCGAAGGCGTTCCGGGCGATGTTAACGATCCCGAGATTCTCCAGATGCAATTCGATATCCTCAATCGTCTGCACGGCGTTGACGTCCTCGAAGGTGACGCCGTGAAGAACGTCGCCGTTCCCCAAACAGACATACAGGTGGTTGTAAACCTGACAGTCGGCGTCCTCCGTGAAAACATCCGCGACGTTGCCCGATAAGAGGAGATAAATGAGAAGGAGGAAGCACATGGTGTGCTCGGAGGCTGATTGTGCACTAACTTCGTATGCGCCGGAGTTTCTTCGCGTACACAACGTTCGCGAGGTATTATTACGCGAATATATATGTATGTATATATATATCAGCGATAAGTTATTACACGCCTATCTACTACAACATAATGTCTCGCATTATCTTGGACCTCATAATTAATTTATAAACTATAAAAGCCCCGCAAAATGGATAATGTTATCTTTAAATAATTCTCTTTTAATATTAATTGATTATATCAAATATTTTATTGAAAGTCAATTAGTTAAGCAAGCGTTTTTACTATGCGAGCAGAATTGAAAAAGTTTTTTGAAATATGATCAACAACATCCATTAGTACATTTAAATAAACATTCCTCGCATTATTTGTAAAACCAGTGTGTCCTTTTGCAATTGCGTGTTTGAAAATACACTGTACATGTTTGTGTGTGCGCGTGTATACATAAAATATTTTCTATATTTTCATATTTTCTGTTAATTATTAAGAGTAATAATTATATGTCCAAACCAATATTTTTATAAAATTAATATAATAAATTTGTCACATGATAGTGATAAATTTAATAATAAAATAATAAAAATTACGTTGTAAAAATAAATCAGGAGAAATGCTTCTCCAGAATATTCTTAGTGTTATAAATTAACGTTTAGAAATCTTATACACTCTGTAACAAGCAGCCGATATATCCGCATACCGGAAAACGACGAGGAATTATATCGGTGACGAATAACAAGACCGTATCAGGATTTCACACTTTATACAATGTGCGACGATAAAAGATTCAGGCGCCACTCGGTCCACATATGTTATTAACTTTGTATACAATTCGCGACGAGTTACTTGCAAAGGATTCATTGGGAAATACGTAAAAATGCTCGTGGGCAGATAAGATTCGACGAGTGCAGTGATCGGTTGCTCCGGCTTATTAATAGCTGAACATTATCGTGCTGAATACGACTTCTGAACCAGAATACACGACATATTATCTCGTATAAAAGTTGCTTTTGTACCTGCAAATAATTTTATTCTTTATATTACGTAAAAAAAAAATTATCTTGCCATCGGGATTACTTCGTGCTGTCTCTCATGTACATTAATTTAATAAAATTTTAATTATAAATTATTTTTGCATTTTTTAATATTACCTTACACATTTTAATTCAATTTATTCGTGATCATTTATTCAGTAAAATTTTAACTAAATTATTTTTGCATTTTTAAAATGTTACATATTTTAATTTAATTCATTCGTAATATTTATGCTCGGCTCTTTTATTCTTTTGTGTTTATACAGATGACGCGGAGTACTTTGAAAACGCATCAGTGAGATGTCTAAATGAAAAGCGTGGGAGAAATATCAGATTTACGTTTAATTGAAAAAAGAGCCAACGGCATCGTATTACGCAGTTGAATTTGCAATATTGGGTTTGAAAGCGGTAACACGTAGATCGCATTGAGTTACGTCCGAGAAAAATGAAATTCACTTGTTTTTACGCATTGCATGCTGAACGTTTTTCCAATTTATACTCGGTTTACTAGAGAATTTAACTCGAAATGAAATATTACACTGACAAATATTGATATTCCCTATCTCCTTGAAAACTTACTCGGATACATGAATCTTGATGGGAGATTGTAGGTTCGGTAAACCTCGTTTGTACGCGGACCAAGGGCGGATGGTTTTTCGTCTCGGTAATCCGAAAGTTTCTCGTCGGCACAAGAGTACGGTATATTGACCATTTCTCTATTAGATCAGCTTACTGTGGAATAATTTAAATTATTTCAAGCACTCCTTAATAATCAGTAACACGCTATGCGTTTGAATTCACTTCTAGAAAACAGCCATGATTATTCGGTTGCTGTAGAAACGATGCTAGTATATACGCAATCGATTAAACACGAATGTATGTACATACATATATACGAAAGTATATAATATATTTAAATGATTTACAAAGTTTTACTTACTTTATTTTATTATTATTTATTTTATTTAAATTTGGCAAATTTCACATTTTAATTTGAACCATGTAATCGTCTAATTAATCAATTAATTATTCGCAAATTGCGAATTATTGTTGTATGATTATTAAAACATTATATATATATATACATATATATATATATGTAGATATATATATAATTATTATTATTAGCTATTTATGTTGTATCTTTAATAAATTAAAGCTAGACAATATATACATATGCTATCGCTGTACACTATAACTTTCTATGACATGTAATCACGGGTATATATGCAAATAATGGACATTCATATCCAATTCATTACTTAATTATGGATTATCAACATCTGCAAAATAATAAATATATAATTTATTGAAAGAAGTTTTCGTATAAATATTTCTATCTACATAAATGTAAAACGTAGACACGGAAAAAATTACTATGGTTGTTACAACAATATT